GAGAGAAGCGCCCGCCTTATTCTTTAGCTGCGCTGCCAAAGGGCCTTTTGCCCAGGGCTAGGGTTTAGGGTTTAGGGTTTAGGGTTTGGAGGTGGGGGACCCGGGCCAAAAGACCAAAAATTGAAAGGCAAATGAAATTGCATTAATGCGAAAGGACAAAAAGGAAAGAAATAAATTAAAGGTTTGATTTGTTTATTAATTTTCAATTTGCTGCAGCAGCATTACTACTTTTCATTTTGCTGCAGCAGCAGCAAAGCGCTGCAGCAGCTACACAAAGCGCTGCGAAGCTGGCAACAATAAACACAAATCAATTAATTAATTAATTAATTAATCAATTAATTAATTAATTAATCAATTAATTAATTAATTATTTAATTAAATTAATTAATTAATTAATTAAATTGATTGGGAAGAGACAATAAAGAAAAGAAACTGTCGACGGCAGCTGTCTGTACACCCCAAATACTGCTGCTTTTCACTTTTCCACCAAATCCATTTGCACTTCCCAATTGTGCACAGCTAGGGTTTAGGGTTTAGGGTTTAGGGTTTAGGGTTTAGGGTTTTGGCCCCAGGGTCTGGGGTTTAGCGCTCCGGGTGTAGGGTTTAAGGTTTAGAGTTTGGGCTTTAGGGTTTGCCGCGGCATTTCTGCAGAGTCTACTAGGGTTTAGGGTTTAGGGTTTGGACAAACTCTAGATTAAATGAGGGAGGTTTAGCGGCAAGTAAAACTGAGGGTAATTTTAATATGCAACGAAGCAGCTGCTGCTGCTGCTGCAGCAAACGGAAGCTGCTGCTGCTGCTGCGGCAAAAAGAGGATACCATACGTATGCTTGGTGCAGCAGCAGCAGCAGCAGCTCCGTGTGCTGCTTTTTATAACTTCTTCTGGCTGCTGCAGCAGCAGAGAAAGGAAATGCTGCTGCAGTATGCTGCACTGCTTCTGGTGGCTGCAGCCGTTGCTGCTGCAGCAGCAGAAGCAATGTGCTGCTGCTGCTGCGGAAAGAAGGGGGAGGTGTGCACATGGTTGTTGCAGGAGCAGCAGCACCACAGCAGCAGCAACAAAAACAGCAGCAGCAGCAGCAGTTCTATTTGCTGGATTTTATCATTTCTTCCAGCGGCTGCTGCTGCAGCTATGCTGCTGCTGCAGCTGCTGCAGCTATGCTGCTGCTGCAGCTATGCTGCTGCTGCAGCAAAAAAAGAAAATGGAAAAGTTTGCTTTTGCTGCTGCAGCATGATTCGCTGCTTCCGGGCTGTCTATACACCTGGGGGCATGCACCAGCCTCTCTAAATCACAAATTAAATTAAATTTAATTAAATTAATTAAATTAAATTAAATTAAATCAATTTGTCAAATAATCAATTAAAATCCAATTCATTATCTATAACAGAGTTGCCTCAAGCTTGATAAAACGAGGAGAGGAGCCAAACAGCAGCAGCAACAGGCTGCAGCAGCAGCTGCTGCTGCCTGTGCTGCTGCTATTGCTGCAGCAGCTCCAGCTGCTGCAGCTGCTGCCAATGGTGCAGTATAAGTGCAAAGTCTGTTGCTGTACGGCTCCTGCTGCTGCTGCTGCTGCACTGCAGCGGGAACTGCAGCTGCACTGCAGCGGGAAAGCTGCTGCTGCTGCTGCGCATCTGCAGCCGGCGCACTGCTGCCGCTGCTGCCGCAATGCGCTGTGCTGCTGCTGCTCCTCCAGCAGCAGCTGCAGCAGGAACTGCGTTGAATCTGCTGCTGCTGCTGCTGCTGCTGCCCGAAACGGGGGGCCCCACAGTCAAATTCAAAAAGCAAAAGCAAACTGCATTGAACTTTTGGGAAAGGAGACAAATGAAAAGGAGACACTTTAAAAAGAGAAGCAGCAAGCACAGCGATGCACAGCAACAAGCAGCAGCAGCAAACGCCCGCAGCAGCAGCAGCAAACGCCTTCAGGAGCAGCAGCAAACCCACCCAGCAGCAGCAGCAGCAGCAGCTCTTAAAGCAAAAATAAAGTGTCCCTTCTTCCTCCTTTATTAATTAAATCAAATTCATTTTAAATTCATTTTCATTTATGACATTTGCTGTCTCCTCCAAAGTGTCTCCACATATAAAATTCTTTATTAGTTTTCTTTTCACTTTTATTATTCTTTATTTGTCTCTTCATTATTTATTTATTTATGTGTTTGTTTATTTATTTATTTGATTATTTATTAAATGTCTCTTTATTATTTGTCTCCTGATTTATTATTCTTAATTAATTGTCTCTTTTTGTTTAATTGCATTTTATTAATTGTTTAAATAATCGTTTTATTCCTTTTATTTATTACTGCTTTTATTAATCAAATGCCCTTTTGATTGTCTCCTTATTGCTTAATTGTCTCCCTGCTGCAGCAGCAGCAGCAGCTGCTGCTGCTGCTGCTGCTGCTGCTGG